GGAGGAGTTCCCCCCCCAGCCCCACCATACAATTAAAAAACCAATTAAAAAAAAAAAAAAAAAGATAAAAGGCTTTAATAAAGAAACCTCAACTATAGTCTCTCGGGGGAGGGGGGGGGCTTTGCACCCAACCCGCTATCGGTTAAAAGCATCAGGGACTCAGGATTATTTGTGGTTTGATCAAGAAGGTTACACCCTCTTCCAGTACTGCTCCGTGCTGGGGATGCCGGCCACAATCTCCGACTCGATGCCGCAGTGGTCCTGACCTCGGAGGATTTTGAAGAAGCCTGCAAGAACACTTAAGAGTCAACCTCCCTCCCACGCCAAGGAGAACAGGGAGAGGGGTCCCTCCGGCAGCCCCCCCATCCCCGCAGGCAGCGCCCAGGGGGTGGCCTCACCATTGTCCCCCCAGTCGGTGTTCCAGGAGTTGGCAGCCAGCCAGTACGGAGTGCCGTTGTCCACCCCCCAGCCCAGGATCCGGATCGCGTGGCCTCCAACCTGCTCACCAGAGACGTGCTGGTAGACCCCTGCAAGGCAACAACCCAACGTGTCAACGGGCGCCGCATCCCATGTGTGTTGTCCCCGCTTCAGACCGCTACCGGCTTGCGAGACATGCGATATCAAAGCCCAGAGACCAGCTGAGAAGGTTTTTGTGGTTAAATGGAAGCCTGAAGCTCAATGGAGAGGCTGGGAGAAAGCGTGATGCTAAGCATCAGCTCAGCATGCAGGACACCCAGAGACGCTCAGCCAGGGGCCCAAGGGCAGCAGATCCCAAGCAGTTCAGAACAGGGAATGCTACCAGCTTGCGAGACATGCGATATCAAAGCCCAGAGACCAGCTGAGAAGGTTTTTGTGGTTAAATGGAAGCCTGAAGCTCAATGGAGAGGCTGGGAGAAAGCGTGATGCTAAGCATCAGCTCAGCATGCAGGACACCCAGAGACGCTCAGCCAGGGGCCCAAGGGCAGCAGATCCCAAGCAGTTCAGAACAGGGAATTGGGGCCACGCCAGGAGAGCCGTATGCCAGGACTTTGCCTAAAATTTTGCTGCTGTTCTCAGCTGCAATTCCAGGGGTTCCTCATCGGGGCTTCCTCTCTGAGCCAGTCCCAAGCACCTATTCGCCTTGCTATAAACCAACAGGTACAGGAGATGGTATCTGCCCTTGTTCTTGCAACACCAAATAGTCAAGCATGAACTTGAGATCTCCTTTCTTGAGTAGAGGGACAAGGGCCACAAAAGGCAGACCCCATGGAGGACGTAGGGAACAGGGCTCCCTACTGCCTTGGTGCTGATGCTCACCAGACTTGTACATTAGGAAGTCCTCATAGACAATAAAGGCTCCTTCCACTGGGCCATTCTTGTAGATCTCAGCCATGATTTCCTTCTCACTGCGAGGGACACTGTAGGATGTGATGCCTGTGGAGGAAAGAAAAAAAAAAAAAAAAAAATCCCACCATTAGTACAGCATCGTCAAGCCACACAGGTCTTGGGACGGCTAGACAGAGACCGCTCAGCGTGCCCCGGCAAGAGGCCTTCTCCACTTAAAGGGTAAATTCAAACCCAGCTGCTCCAGAGGCACTGACACAGCAGGGAAAGCGTGCTCCAACCATCCCTCTTCCAGAGGGAATGATTTAACCCAAGTCCTATTCTGCTGAAGACCTATTCATAGAATAGAACCACAGAATCGTTTAGGTTGGAAAAGACCAAGCCCAACCGTTCCCCTACCCCTGCCATCCCACCATTAAACCCTGGCCCTAAGCGCCTCCTCTGCCCGGCTGTTAAATCCCTCCAGGGATGGGGACTCCACCCCTTCCCTGGGCAGCCCCTTCCAGTGCTTGACAACCGTTTCAGGGAAGAAATTTTTCCTAAAAAATTCCAGACAGCTTCATTGGGAAGGGAAGATTTCCCCTTGTACATCCTCATTTCCAAAACAAACCAAATTATTTGAGGCTGAGACAAATCTCCAAGAAGCAGCCAGACTCTCCTACGGGTACAGTGCTGGCTACCACCAAGGAGTAGGGAGGAGGTGGCTTGGACACCAGACTCCCCCAGGGCTCAGCACTATGCTTTTCAGCCCAGGCGGGTGCACCGCAAGGACCCAAACCAGTGCCCCCATCTCAACTGAGTCTCAGCAAACACAGACTGTGCATTTGCCAGGCTTATGCTTGCTCCAGGACCACCCACCCTGAGGGCACAGAAAATAGCCACCACGAAACAGCTCAGGAAGAGGTCCAGCCCCACCAACACCTCCGAGCTACCACTAGGAGCAGCTCTGGAGCTGCTGCACATCGAGCAGTGTTGGTGGCCACCTCCCTTACCGTAGTGCTTGTCCTCCTTGTATGAGGGTGAGTAGCCGGGTTCGCAGTGCCGGCTGCACCGGGGGGTTTCCCCCCCCTCCCCGGTGCACGGTGGCCGGGAGCCGTTGACGTGGTGCTCACAGGGTGGGATGGAGTAGGGACGGCAGCCTGTTGAGGACAGAGGCGGCATGAACTGGCTGTCCCCGAGCATCCCTGTCCAACAGCCGTGCTGGAGAAGGCACCAGATGCCCCCAGAACAGCATTTCTGACCTTTCTGACCCAGAAGCCCCATAGATCAGTGGGGTGTGAGCAAGAGGAGGCCTTCCACTGCCCCGTGAGCAATCCCTCCATCAGCAACAAGGTTCCCTCTGGACTTGCTTCCCACCACCTCCCTCCCAACAAAGGTGCCGGAAAAGATTAAAACATGAACCAACTCATGGCCATGCCAGGAGGAGGCAGAGGCTTACAGTCTGGAAGTTGCTTTTTGAGGAGGGAAACGTGTCAGGAAGACTCCTGCCCTCATCCAAAAGTGTATCGAACTGGTCCAAAAACCAGCAACAACAACAAATTCACAGCCTGATTCATTCCTG